CTCTCTCTCTCTCTCTCTCTCTCTCTCTCTCTCTCTCTCTCTCTGTCTCTCGTAGCCTGTGTGTCTGCCTGCAGTCATTAATCAAAGGTACCAGCACAGTGTACGGTTGGCTGTATTCACTGCTTTCGTTTCATTTTCTCACATGTGGCTCTCGGGAAAACACTTACACAACCAAACCATTGCTGCTTGTTGTAGTCTATTGGAAAAATCCTAAATTGGCTGTTGCTTTTCCTTCCGATTAAAAATAGGGTCTAGACCTAGTCTTTTGTGTCAAACGATACAAAACAACAACAAAAGTTAGAGAAACAAGTTGTATAATTTAAGATCCAACAAACAGAAAAGGTACCGTAAGAAAAACTAAATTGTATCGGTTGACTGCGGTGAGTATAAAAAGCAGCAAGTGTTTATGGGTGGATTCCACTTGAAGGCCTGGTTTCTAACAATGATATGCGGGTGGTTGGAGTGTGTCACTGGAAGGCCCTACTTCTTTGCTTTACCTTTTTTTTTCTTGTTTCTATGTATGTCTGTTTTACACGTTCCCTGCTCTAAATAACAGTTTTGGTACCTATGTGCATCTTTGTATAGTTAAAGAAAGAAACAATCGTAATAATAATATGGAGACAACAACAGTCCATTGTTTTTATACTCTTTGAGACGAACTGCACATTAGACATACCAACAAGATCAGACCGCTCTTTGCGAGCATGCAAACCGTGGTTGGTTGGCGGGTGCTCTGATGTGGTTTGCTTCTTCTTTCCTATCAAACATCTATCGCCCTTATCTCTCCTCCGTCTTTTTTATGTTTGTTACTCTCTTCTAACACCTCTAATTTTCGGCACTTATATGACCTTATTGTGCTACAAGTGCCGTAAAACACGTACTAAAACTAAAACATGCAAACCAACAAACTTGCTACTCAAACTGATATTAAAGAATTTTCTTCTAAATTTGCTGAATCGTTGAGCGATTGCTTCTCTGGAAGCTAATATCTAAATTTGTTAATTAAAAATTAAATACACCGATAAATCTTTACCACCCCGTATGTAAATCTAGTACAAAAAATAAATAATGGAAACAGCTCAAACCTCAAGCGTACAATACTCTATCAATCATATTACGTCAGGGGTGGACAAGGAGAACAAAGAAAGAACCTGCTTGTTATAGAGTCTGAAGCATTTTCGATTTCTCGTATTTCGTCTTAAGGTCAATAGTTTGTGTATCAAACCCTTTTCGTTTACTCTCATCTGATTACACTGAAACAATATTTAGCTCCTTCCACAGAATGGCGCTAGTGCTATGCGTTCAAATAAATCATTTTGGTTTTTCCATCTCGGTATGTTACAAACATTATTGCCTGCTTTGTTTATGCAGCTCTCACAAGATGGCGACGCAGCCCCTCAAAGAAAAAAATCAATGTAAACATTTAAAAGTTAAGTATATCTTAATTCCCAGATGGGGTTGTGCTGGATTCCCCCAAACAGCCTCAGTATACAGAACAAAAAGATGACGTGACCCCCTCCCCCTCCCCACACCCCCACACACAGATACAACATTTCG